CTATGTTTGGTTATACCTTAAGCAGCAAATTCTCCTATAGATGTTTTATCTGCGATCTTGGTCACAATAGTCATGCATGTATACAAACACTTCATCAATTCAAGAATATCTTTCAAACAGCATTGCAAACATTTATATCAAATGGCAAGCATTTTGATAGTTATCATTATCCCTTTAGTTGACTTCAGGTTTCATAGTGGGGAAGGATCAGCAAAGTGAAATAGTCGAGAGGGGGGGGGGGAACAGAAGACACAAAGGAAGAAAAAAGGTGAGGTGAGTACTATGGAAGTAGTGGAATATGACATACAGTGGGGTGATGGTAGTTTGAAGTTAGAAGTCAACTGCCGGTTAATAAACTCTTTTGCCGTATGAGTATACGTTACCCAGGTTGCACCACGTGGAGGTAAGTCTATCGCATACCCCGCAATGCAAACATAGGGTAGTTTTAATATATTGTTAGACTCTAGTGTCAATGGTTTCACTACATTGGAACCTCAAGCGTGTTGGTTAGATTTATTTTTACTTTCTGTAACCTTTCTTACGAATTTTGACTCGCGTACTGTGTTGGTTTAATTTTTAAAAATTTATTAATAAGTAATTTTGTCTGTGCACAAATTTACATTGTAAAATCACGAATCTCTAACAACGAGTACTTGCGATGGCAACCTATTTAAGTCATTCATTGGAAACAACAAACCTCTACGAAACTGTAGCTTGACACCCATTTCTTATTAGTAATACTTTGAACGCCATGGTTGATAAATGGGGAATGAATGCGTTGTTATTATTTGGTCTTAAATGAATTTGTATCTTGTTTTTATTACTTTTCTGCTATATACACAATCTTTATACAGATTTTAAAGACGAATTCCGCTGTAATTGAATCTAGGATTACGCCACATAACCACCTTCAACGCCTCAAACGAATTTGTTAACGCGAGAAAGCTGATCCCCCTCTGTGATAATTGTAGGTCGATCCAGAAGGTGAAATGACTAATAAAGCTCTAATAGTGTAGATTTTGTTTTCTTCTCCAGTGATGAGCGCCTCCTGTTGTCGAACCATATCATTAATAGGCGGCTACACCACTCCTGGCCGCTTGATTGTCGTTTATCGCCGGTTCAACAGTGCTTCCAGCTTCAAACATTAACTAAACACAGACGTCTTTGCATTTTCATTGCACTAATATAATGTCTTGACGCATAGGTAATGCTCTCCAGAGAACTGAATTTTGGCTTTAGTTTTATATTATTTTATAAAGTGCTCATGCTGGTATTGGAAAGAGATTCGGAAATATGGAAATAAATGGGGCCCTATTTACGGAGATGTCTAAGTTTCTAGACTTATTTATGACCACATGTCTGCCAATTGGATATACCTTTAAGCCTTCCTATTTCCCCACAGGGCATCTTTGTACCAATGTTAGATGGAGAGGGTATGAATATAAGGCAGAACAACTTTAGTAATTGAAACCGAAGACCATAATTAGAAACGAAGTTATTCAAAGTGAAATTCCAGGGTGGCAATAAAACTTAATAAAAACTCACATAAATAAGTTTAGCAGATGAATTGAGCTTCATTTCCGCAAAGAACTAGCGGCGCACACGAAGTGTCGTCTGTTTTTTTTCTTTCTTGGGACGTTGTGAAACTACCCGGCATTCATTGGTTGACCAGCTTTTCTGTTTATAAAATCCACCTGAGCCATTTGAATTTGATCAAGGGCGTCACTGTCGCATTCCAGTGATGACCGCGCGTGTTATACTTGCAGTGTTAACTGTTTTAGCCCTGCTTGTCCAGAGAGGTAGGTTACTTATTCTTAAGGCAACTAATTTAACAATTAAGTGCATATTAGCATTCTGTGAGAGTTATTATTCATGCATATCTCTACGTAATTCCTCTAGACGCGTTATTGTTTTATACCCTTAATTTGCTCTTAGGTTTTAAGTTGCGTTTAATCTTTGATAGTATTTTCCTTATTATCCACTCTTTTTAGGACTCATCCTAATCTTATGTTCTCTTTAAATAAGGCTTTATAAAAGGCTTGATTTAAGTTTCGTTTGTTAGAAGACGTAAACCTTGCCTTTTCTACAAACTATGGCCTAAGTAGAAAGTTGTTGAAGTGACAATGTTGAAATCTTACCTAACTTGGCCCTATCACTTCTTTTAAAGATTAGTTACATAAGGTGGTTTTAAAGGTCAATATTGAAAATCAGTTCAATTTAGAGACTCGTTGCTTTTCTAAATATTTAAAATGAGCCAACTTCGATTGGATTAAAATACATAGTTTGATTAAAGCATGCTTATTTGTGCATGTTCATATTTGCTTAACTCTCTGATCAATCAAGGTTTCGGTATCTTGTGTTACCAATGTGATAGTAACGAAGACGATACATGCCCTGCTGGTCGACGTTTCGAACCTCGCCTGAATGCACTTGTTGATTGTGGCAGCTTCCAGGCTCGCGTTCCGGGTACATTCTGCATTAAAATTTATCAAGAGAGCACTGGCTGGTTTGGATGGATCAAGGTGACTCGACGATGCGCAGCCAGAACAGATTACGGTAAGAGTTAATACTATTAATTTCGTGCATAAGATAATAATTTGGATGCTTAAATGTCACCTCCGGGTCCTTAACTCATTTCGAATAGTCTTTTTTCATAAATAGGTCCATAGAGCCTCTTTTGAAGCCGTAATGTCTTATTAAAAATTGACAGTCGAACTGTTTTAGAACTCTGAGCAAGATAGTCTTGGGGATATCCCCTTAAAAGATAATGATTGAAGGACCAATAGGGTGGCAACCTTCTTGAATCGGAAGATCAGTAGTTTACGAAGAGGGAGTGAATATTGGATCACCTTAAAGTAAGGAATAAAAAAGTATTTTTGATTAGAGGCAAAATGGAGAAGAACAGAGGGCTTTAGTCGGTGGAGCTTCAGTGATATCGAGGCTATGATAATTAGTTTAAATTAGGTTATTCTAGACGTTGTTTAAAGTTTTACGACCCGTATTTAACTGATAATCAGTTAATAAAGGCAGCTTTGCAATAAGGAGATTGAAGACAAATGGGCCAGCAAGAGCATTTTGACGGAATGTTACAGATCTCCATAGTAGTATAACACACATATTTCCATAAGTTCATTAGTTTTTCACCATGCTAAGTGTAACAAAATTATGGGGACTCCTATAGTAAAAACACACCGTATCGGAATCTTTGACAACGTTGTTTAAGCAGCGATGAAGAAAACTTACTCATTTAATGGCTTCAAATATTTGTTTTAATGCTTTTTAGGCGTAGCGAAGGGCTGTCGTTATTGGTTTGATGCTCAAGGTGTCTATCATGAAGTGTGCTATTGTCAGGATAGAGACGGATGCAATTTTGTAAATGGATTGAAAATCAGTGTACCGCTTACAATTTCTGCTTTGCTGATTTACCTTTTATTTTAAATTACGCTTTCTAATATTTTCTCTTTTTTGATGGGTTGTCGAAAATTGGGTATCATATAACTATGTCCACGAACTGGAGTTGAAAGTACAATTAATTTTGTACTCCTAAGATAACGCAATGCCCTAGATTAAGAATATGTTATAATATTATGAAGAGGTCGAAATTGTGGTATATCCATAAAAGCTTTTGCTGCTTAGGAATCTCAGAATATAACTTCACGAAGGCAGAATTCAGCTTTATCTTTACGAATTAAGTGCCATTCTTTAAGGAAGCACAAAAGTCGAAACTGCTGGTCACCATATAGCATTTTATTTAGTAGGATAAAAATTGAAAAAAAATGGAACTTGATGAAAATCTTCGAGAATAATGATAGGAGACAGACCTGAAAACGGATTAATAAATTAGATAAAATAACTGCAATTTAATTATTCTTTTTAAATAAAGATAATAACATAACCGTAGCACGGTGTTTATGCAAACGAAAATCACTTTTATCAAGCAAATATTTGATTAGGACAATGTGCACATAAAAATAAAATTAAAAAAAAACAAGGAGGCTTACGGTTCATGAAAAGCATTGCGGATGGCTCAATCTTTCCGATAGTCATGTGTTGTTAGTCGTCTCTTTGAACTAGAATTTACCTCTCGTGAAAATATGTCGATTTAGAAGTGTATATTAGTCTCACATAGATGAATCAGGTGGCGTCTCCCATATATTCCCCACCAATCTCTCCGTAGACTATTTTGTTTTCCACAAATAATAAGCATTAATAATTATCATCTCAGAAGCGTCTCTCCCTAGGCATCGAACCCCACGACAGTTTACTTCTACCGAAAAGATAATTACCGTCGAATAGCTTAAAATGACCGAACTATTTTTATTCATCTAAGCACTATTTCAATCATGGGCTTAAGCCAGGTAAATTAGAATAAATCCAATTGATTTCCAACATTTTTTAATAGCAAATCGATCTCAAATTTTTAAAGTAATAGAGCATCAAATACCCCTTTTACAAGTATTTAAACACCATCGTCACTAATCCCTGATTCCAGTTAACACCTAGGGCTTACTTTACCATTTGTTATTCATTTAGCAAACATGAATTAAACCAAAATGTTTCAGTTTGGTGTTTGGAAGCAGAATTAAACTTCCAATTTTAAAATGTAGAAGAAAAATCTAAATTACTAAATTCGACAATTGAAAAATCCAAAATTATCCAATTAAATAAGATTTTTAACTTAATTGTACCTACCATATTTTGACTTTTACTTTGCTTATAAACTTATTTTTACATAACTTTTGCAAATGAATTACAATTGACCTTCAGTTGTTTAATTGCTTTTCGAACAATGGTTAGGCTACGTTAGGCCAATCGAAATCTGTGCTCGCGAAGATGTCGTATGCGAGTATCGCTAATGGGTGATGTTATTGGCTTCAAATTTCCCCTGATCGATTTTAAGTACAGTTTTCTAATCGGAAACCGAGTTTTTTGCAATGTTTGCTTCAGTAATTTTGATCTTATTTATTTATCACCAACGCCTGGATGCTCGAGTTTACGTTTCTCAAGAAAGAATCAATGAATTGGTGAGATAATTCCGCATTAGTTTCTTGTATTTTGTGTTTTCTATTTAGAAAATTATTAGCACAAATTAAATTGTGTAAATTGTTTAATTTTTTAGAGTTTTATGCTTTTCATTTTACAATTTTTTTCCCATATACACCCTCGTTACTTATACAATTACAATATAAATTTCATAAAAATTGCATCATATTTTTAAAATATGTCTTAAAAACGCCGAACCTCTTCTCTTTCCATAAAGTCAAGAAATGGGTCCGAGGTGTTGTCTTTCGCCCCTCTGCTTGCAAATGAATTTGCTAAATTCGCTCGAGACGAGTTGGGCACGATGACATTGCAAGCTGCATTTGATCGATTGGAATACGAGCCGAAGTCCGAAAATTCTGCCCAGTTGGATCTTGACTCGGTAATTTGCCTTATTTTACCAATTAATTAAATGTTTTTTTAATACGATCTCGAGTATTATTATCTTTCCCTCCAGCTCGTTGATCAACTTTCCCTCAAATTGCGCCATTATGGTCACTTAGTTTCTAATCCCCAAGCGCTAGTTATCCAACTTCACCGAGAGCATAAAAAATCTCCGAACGCCCCTCGATTTGATTGTTGCAACCTCTCCGAACGCGATCTTCGGTTTGTTTTTTTCAGTTCCATAAATCATCTATTTGTTTAATCAACTCTCATATTTTAATAGATATGAGGGTGTCTATGGCACTCGTGTTTCCCGACGTAAATGCTGTGATCTGATACCATTCAATCTCCCCGTAGCAGCTTTTAATCCTGGTCACAATTTGACTCAGCGATTCCGCCGACAATTGGAGTATTGGCCAAATGTAAAGTGGCTATACTTCATCACTGCTGAGGGTCTGCACACCGAGTTTCCCGCACACAATTTCCGTGGGACTGCAGCTGCTTCGGCGTTGGTTGAATCGATTGCTCTTGCTGCTGCGGCTACGGTCGCTGCCACCACTCTCAACTCTGGTAGTGGACCTGGGGTAGCATCAAGTAGTCAGCAGGCATCTCCATGGCAATCGCCAACCGTGGAGGGGAATCAAAGGAATAGGAGACAGCTTCCGCATTCATTACTCACTGCTCTTTACGATTGCAGATCGGTTCATCAGCTGAGACATCGGTACGATTTTACTTTCAAGATTGCTTGCATATGGAGTGTTGTAAATTATTAAAAACGTCCTAGGCATTGAATTCTGTCCATATTAATGTAGTTTTTTGCCGTTTAGTATACGTCTGAAATTTCCAAATAAATTATAAAATATTTTTCCAAATATTTTTTGGTCAGAATTACCTGTTACTTTTCCATTCTAAAAGTATTAAAATAGGTCTTAGAAAATAGCTTTAATTAAAGTGCTATTTGAATGATTGCGATTGGTTTCATTTTTATTCTTTTCTGTAGTTAATTGTATTTATTACTATTAATTCTCTGATTCCTCTATTTTTTATACAACTTTGAAAGCGGGGTTAAATAACGTTAAATCGCGATCGATATGGCCATTGAAATGAATATTTTTCTCTTGAGCACCTATTCAACTCTGATTCCATTTTATCGCCGCCTTATAATAACTTCTTTAAAAGCTACCTCTAATGTCAAAATGGAACTCCTTTTCGGCAGAGCCTTCGCATAGGCCACAACATATTTGATACGATGTATGTTAAGTTGTCCTATTTTCACCAGTCGAACATGCTATCATTTAAAGTGCTTAATCGTCTCAATGTTAGTATTTACAAACAGTGTATATTAATTTCATAGTACAACATAAAGATTTGACTGTTTTACGCCATTAGCACCCTCAAAATGAAATATTTTCATTAATTTAAATTCAAAAGATTTTGGTAACTGCGAGTTTCTCAAACAAAATGCTTTATTCTTCATTTATATTCAGTGTTAATGAAAATAATCTATAAGTGCCCTTTTAATTGGGAAGGGAAAGCTTTTGTCTCCCTTCGTTCGGTAGTCCTTTGTGGGGTCTCCTAATAAGCACAAATAGATTATCTAATTAGAGAATGTATGAAAATGTATAAGCAATGATGACCTTGCTATTAAAAATTATCACTCAACTTGAATTATTTTTTATGTTCACACCTGTGTTGGCTAATAATGGCAATCGTGCATAAAATTGATTTAGAGACCAGTAGTAGAATGTGAGTATCCCATCGATCATTTCTCAGCTATCTTCAAGTCGCTAGTCGTTTCTCTCATTTTATATCCTAGAGACGTCTTTGTGCGTTCTGTGGTGCCACAAATAATTTGGCTAGTGCTGGTGCTGGATCAAAGTGAAGTGAGCAAAACGCGAATGCTTCTGGGTCAGCGAGTGGCGCGGTTGCTTCTCGCCTCTCTCAGTGAAAAGGACCGAGTCGCGTTGGTTCTGGCCTCGGATACCGCACGAATCGCTACTGTCTCCGGTGCCCCTAGCGCGCATCTCTTACCCGCTACTCATGAGACCAAGCTGGTGAGCATTATGTTTAAGCTCAGCGATCAGAATTTGGGTAAAGAAACTAATTTTTTTTTCATAAGACCTCTCCGAGTTGAGAATTTTGACTTTCTACAAATGTCATAAATTACAAGGTTAGTAAATAGAGATCAGTAGTTAGAAAGGGAAGGTGGAGTGGGAATCTATCCTTAAAAGCTTGCCTGAATAGCCTCCTCAACCTCCTTCAACTTCCTCTTCTGTTTTGACTTCGAATGCTTGAAAGGTGCTTGACCATCCAAGCATTTACTTCAAGCAGGCTTTAATACTGTAAATACACTACTTAGCTGTAAGAAGCGTTAATTGTGCGACAACATATTCATGGGATTGCTTTAAACGGAACTTCATTCCTTGCCTGTTTGTCCTTTTTTGGTTTTGTTAGAAAACCCCCCTGATTGGAGATTAGACTGGATTATGCAAGTTAGATAGGATTTGAAGTGAACAACGTACACATAGCATACCAAAGACAGCTCTTATATCATTCAATTTGCCATTTTGGGTCTTTACGATTTCTGATCAGTTACTCTCTATTTAGTATTATTAAAATTTAAAGGCCTAATTGGTTTTTGATTTTAGTTTCTTAGTGAAAGTATCTATGGCATACGTGGCTCTGGAGTGACTAAAACAAACCACACTCGGGCACTCCTTGAGGCTTTTCGAATTCTCCGCGATGCAGTTGACGCTCAGAACAAAGAGCTTCCGATTTCATCAGTACTTGGGCCATCTACTGGTAAATTTTCGTCCCTAAATGTGTATATGGAACTCCACTTTCAATCCTTTTTAACCCAATAATAAGCAAAATTGTTTGAATGAAATCCACGAACCTTGAAATATTTCTTAAAATATAAGTAACTTCAAATAGCATTTAGCATTGCCTTCCCTCTAGTGAGAAACTCTTATTCTGATATTATATTAAAAGACAGACTTAACCATTCTATTTAGTCCATGAGCTCCACTGGAAGCGATGTCTACAGCTAATAGTTCGGTAAGGTGTATTGGTAGACAATGTATTGACTGCCACCTGAGACGTAAGTAGCATTAATCTACTATTCGTCGACCGGGAGTAGCCAAGGTCCCAAGAAGGAACAGCTTCACTAGTCTTTAGGGAACTCTCTTTACTCGTTGTAATAATTATTTTGACACGGAATGCATAATTTTCAATAGAATAGGTTCTTTGAGTGGGGGAATAGTAACAAAATACGAACTGATTAATTTGCCATTAGTGTTTCTGTATTGTTCTAACTTCATTTCTTGAGATGTTGGTGGGCGTTCGCTTGGAGTTTATCTTTCAATTCAAGCGAGCGGTGATGATTGCATTGTACTTGAATTTTCTTAATCTCGCGCTTCATGTTCCTGTTTCAACTTGGCTGATTGTAGAAGAAGGTATCCACCAGAGTATAGCAAATTTAAAAGACTGAGTACTTGTACCACCTCTGTTTTGAGCTTTAAAGAACCTTTCTTTGTACAAGTAGGTGAGATTTTTTACTCCTTTGACCGAACTGGAATAATGGTGTTAGCTTAAATTACCATAGCTTCTCTGATTTCACAATTATTCAGATTATCTACTCGCGTTTCAACTAATAACAGAGTACCTGGAATTAGGAAAATGTCTTGGCTATTCTTTGAGTCCTATCCAAATGGCACAGAAATGGTACTTGACAAGGCGGGTTATGTCATACAAGCCCTTTAATATAATTAACTAACTCGAGGGTTTTCCCTTCCTAGACAATTTGATGATCGCCTACATCAGTCGAGGCAGTTTGGATGATCTGCAGGAGCAGAATGCCACACTTGGACAAGTTACAGAACAACAAGCCCATCTTGGAAATCGTGTGGTAATTAATACATACATGCCTGTGGAGGAAATGAGCGCCACCGTTCTTTTTGAGAAAACCTTCATGAGTAATCTTGCCACTCAGTGAGTATTGATTTTTATTTTAAGTTAATTTGACTAATTTTATAAAATTGTGTTTAATATCCTGATGAAACTGTCAAATAATAAGCGCCAAAATTGTTTGACAAACCGAAATGACTGAAGTTATGCACGAACTAAAACAAGGAGAATTGGTAGGCATAGTTTATGATTAAGGTAGCTCATTTTGAGTGAGCTTAAATGAGCGCCGTCACTTTTGAACCATGTAATATCATCCTACTTTCTCTGAGTTTTGGCGTAAATAAATGAATAGATCTACCATCCACTTTCATCTACTGGTCATTAAGCGCTAGACACAAACGACAGCACCTTATTCAATAAGTCGTGTGACGAAAAAAGCTATTTGAATTGTGATTGGTGAATCAGTTAGCCACATTTTACCTATCCTCTGTACAATAGGAATTTAGAACTCAAATGAAGTAGGGCTCTCGACGCCTTTTCCTCCCTTCTCCTTTATCATATGTTGGATTTGACTGTTAACCAACACCAATTGCTTTGCTACGTGAAAAAAGTGTTAATTCTTTTGTCATTACTATGGTGAATAAAATGCCCTCAAGATTCCTTTCAGTAGTCGCTTCCACACAGAAGTTCTTCATTGGTGATGAAGGAATTAAGTTGAAACAGGTGTCCTGCCTTCTCTAGCCTCCTATTTGTTGAAATTTTTGCGTCCTCTTCAACCGAGCACTTATTCACCAAGAATTGTGCAGCCTGTTTTCCAATCAGACACACAATACATCTCCCTTGGCTCCTTTTAGGCATTTGATGAAATGCGTGTATGGAGTGATCCATCACGAATAGGTAAAATCTGAGGAAACAGTTTCCGCAGAGTTTTACTGTCAGCAATTGGGCAGGCTAAACCAGAAATGAAAAGGTGCATGCTCAGGTTCAATTATCAGACATAGGATAATTGTAGTGTTTGCTAAGCAAATTTTTCTTTAGGCAAAATATAAATTCACCTTTACCACGGAAAAGGGGCAAAATGAGTGGAGCAAGATGCCTAGTGACTCATTTTGCGAATGTCCAGGATTTTGGAAATACCTTTTTTGTAAGCAGAAGGCGATTTGTATCTGCTGCTGGAATTTACAGTTCAGTGAAAAAAAAACAATAATTTGTTTTAGCCAATTTTAACTTGCCTGCGTGTCCGCCTAGTTTATTTACATTTACGTCCTATTTTGTTCATTGGCTGGACAAAAGGTAAAAAACAATTTAAAATATCGAGTTGGTAACTTTGTTGGCAGAATGAATTACGAGGTGTTTAATTCTTTCCTGCGTAAACAATTGTTAAATTACTATATTAACGGTCTAGGCAACTTTTTCTCAGTTTATTAATCCGTTTTCTGGCAGTCGCATGTTTTCCTTATTTGATCTCTGGATTTTTTTTGTTCTGAATTCAGGTTCGCAATATTTGGAGTTTACTGACAAGTTGGCTTATTTTTGCCCTCTAGGTGGCATGCTGGTAGATGAGACGGTGGAAGTGACTGTTGAATAGACGAGCTTGTGAACTTGTGGAACCCATCAGTTTAAAGTCTAAGGCTGATTGGACAGACAAATGTGTACTTGAGTGATCACCATTTGCCTGATTTTCGGTTAATTAAGAACTAGAGGGTGGGGGTAATGAATCATCTGTCCACGTGATGCTGGTGCATGATGCATGATTCATTGTAGTCCAACTACCCAGTAGACTTGCTGTTTGGTCTGTTGAATATGGTCTGAGTAGTTGCCTAAATACCCATATACCTTATTATGCTTATTCTATCTGGCACCTGGTCATTAATTTGGTGCGTGAATAGTACGATAAGGAACAAATTGGATGTGATTTAGAGACCAGTTGAATCTATAATTGCTGCTCATCCACATCACACCTTCTATCCCATTGAATATCTAGTATTTTTACTATTCCATCAAAATCTGTGGATTTTATTTGCGCTAAGGCAGGGCAGCGAGTAGGTAGTAGGTATTTAATTACCGGACAGAAAAGTTGAGTCTGGGGTGAGGTTGGGGGGGGGGGTTGGGTTAGAACTCACAAAGGAAGCGTTTAATGAAGGGAAAGATTAAAATACAATGGTAATAAATTTGCTTAATTTCAATAAATGGGTCACAATAAGGTGTATTTGGAATAGTAGCTGTACGTATTTGGTTACATACTTTGATTGAAAGATCATGAAAAATGTCTCTCCTTTCCTAACCCTGTCTTTTCATTTGTGATTGAAGATTGATAGCTAGCAACAGCACTAAATGCATTCGTGATTAAGCTAATCAGCCAATAGCGTGCTTAGGATGGTAGTCCGATGGAGAAATGGAATTGATTGAAATGTAGAGATAGGCCATCGTCGTTTTCTTTGAACCAATTAGCTGGGGGTGGGGGATATTTAAATGTTTATTATCTCCTAAATGCAGATTTTTAACGAACGTAAGTTTGCATTTTGGAAGCCAAATCATACACCCGTAACTGTAAACTGCCATTTATAAAACTATTCCTGGGGATTCGAGAGTTCTTTGCATAAAACTTTCTTGAATAAGTGGTGTTTTTCTCCTATGTATTTAAACCAAAATAATCTGATTCATAATTTAGATGGAATGTTCACTCCGATCCGGCGAAGTATCGACCTTCCGATGTGCGTCCGGGACACTTTTACGCCATCAATCGCACAGCCGATCTCGCTGAAACAGTGGGCCGATTTTACGAGGTCTGGTTGAAACATCGTGGAAACGAAACGACACCGAGTTCTCTTGTCAATTCAACTAGTGACAAAGAACCCTCCAGTACTTCCGCAAGTCCACCCAGTGGTACTCGGACACAAGCCCCTTCTTCATCGAAATTGTACTTTTCTCTTCCTCATGAGGATTTGGAGGGCAAAGGTCTCGTTATGAGTATCAACCAGGCTTTTTATGATGGGGTAAAGTCGTTTAATTGAGAAAAATTTTTGGTTCCTTTTTTTTGATAAATTTTAAAACTACAGTGTGCCGGTTAGCTTTCTGCGTGAAAAGCCATAGATTGTAATTGCAATGTCTTTTACCACATAGTGAAAATCCACATAGGTTAAGTCCAGACAATAAAAAGTATAGGGCGAATTTCTAATGCCAACCCTCTATCCTAGATGGATGCTTAAAAATGCTTTCCTAACTGTGCTTTAGTGCTGCAGTGTTCATCGCGCATGTAAATGCTAAATCAGAGGAGATGGGATCACTGTCCATCGGTACACATCCGTTGGTATTGGTACATATTCATCCGGATTAATTCCGATCAGCAAGTGGGCTTCTTTAATGCGAGTTTCTCGTAAAGGGGTTTGTATAAACCAATTTCTCTACACAAGCCAAATGCACGTCACTCTTCTAAAGGTCCCCCTTTTCCATTCTTTCATGCACTGAATGATCCATTGTTATCAAATTGAACTAAAATAAGACTCCTCAAATCAATCCTGATAAATATTCAAAACACTTGATTTGTCTTGAATGGTTTCCTGAAGTCACTGTTATAAGAGATTAACACACCACCACTTCTATTGCAAACTAGAAATAACGAATGGATTAACAATTGATCCTGTTTCCTTATGTTTCATAATATAACGCTATTGATCACAGAGTCACGGGTTAAAGTTGAGTTTCCAGCGGAATTGTCCAAGTTTAATGGACAACATAATTGACACGATTCTGCAATTTTGAATAATTTGAGATTTTTATTTGAATAGAAAGTTGTTTGGCGGTGTACTATCTATAAATGATGCTCCGATGGGCTGTAGAGTCGAGTTTTCGTCTTGAAGGCAAAGATATTCTGCCCTTTGGCTTTAATACTATCCAAATTTGGTTATAGACATCTGACTAATGCATCTAATCGCCTTGATTTCTTTCATTTCCATTTCCTCTACAGGATACTTTTCTTGGAGTTATGGGAGTTGATCTCCACGTTGCCGATATCTTCGATCAAATTGTTCATTATGGAGGCAGTCCAACTTCCAATTTTGTTTTCCTTGTGGATGCAACATCTGGTCTTTGTATTTATCATCCTAGCGGTTTCCGTGACCTCCTAACCCCATCTTCAGCTCCGCAAGTTCGTCGAACATCGTCAACTAGTTTTACATCTGCTGAGAACTCCTTCCATTCCACTTCAAATTTCCATGACCCTCTATTACATATTGATGTGAGGTATCTTGAACGTACTCCTGGATTCGAGAGTTATGTACTGCCAAGAATTATGCGTGGCGAGGACAAAGGAACGGCCGATTGGCTAGTTGAAATCGTAAATTCTCTTTGATAGCCTTAAATAGATGAAAATTTTTACTTAAGCTGACTCCTCGTTCCCTTCTTTTTAAGGATCCAGAGGCATTTTCAAGAATTGAGACCACTGGAGTATGGTCAGAAAGTGTGGGTACGCTCGTTACCTCAACTAAGGAGATTTCTGGCAAATATATAGTCAAAGTGACGTACCGCTGGCGACGAATTATCGATCCCGACACCCAGTTTGTTATGATCATGCGATCGACTGAATCTTTACATTCTCCCCCAGCACGTCAACTGGTTGAAATCAGTGAGATTGTTTTATCTAATACTATATTCCCTGTGGCATTTTTATTATCGATCCTGTTCGTATTTAGAATAGAATTTTTCAGAATTCATCTTGATTACACGGGGCAGCGTCATAGTTTTTCTTCCTTGAGAAACTCATACGCTATTTCTCTATTATCTAGGCATAGCCATTTCCCTTGGCAAATCCGCTCGCAGTATGCGTGCTCATGTCGATTGAATTCATAGCTTCTGGCTTTACAGATGACCTTGACAACCATTGAGAGTCACTGTTCATTATTATTAGCCACGATAAGGGAAAATCGTTATGGAAGGGAAAAACGTTCCATTAGTGGCCATGGAGGAGGGGGTGGGGAGGGGGGAATCGAGCAGATGTAGGAATCAAAGCTGAAATACTAAAAGCTTTAGGCATCTCATTTTGGATACCTGTTGTGCGCTCTTTAATCCTCCGATACAGCCCACTTCGTCATGCTCTAATGTTCCAATATCCAAATTTTTTTGGGTTCGTTCCCTGTTTCGTGAATGAAGTTATGCGTACAGAGTCCCGAGTTATTTGGTCTCTCCATTGTTTTATGTATTTGTCTTTTAATAACTAAGACACTAATTGGAGAGTAGGAGACTACTTGCTTTACTTAATCGCCTTTTTATTTTGTAAATAGCCCCTCCGTTTGACTCTTGGTATCACAGATTGGATCTTTTCAAACGGGATCAGGCGTGTCTCTACCTTCGGCAACTGGCAACTTTCAGTAAGCCTTTTATACTTAGTACACTTTTGTTCCTCTTTTTCATGATTGACGAAATGTTTAAATTCACTGAATTGAGGTCTGTGGATGATTAGGCAAAATATGGAGTTTATTCCTGGTGCTTTCGTAGGTTGATTAGTCACACAAAAAATTGTCGCTTCTTTTTCGAATTAAAACCACGCACTATGCAGGTCTGGAGAGGCTTCTTGCAACTATTCAAGTCTGGGTGCATATTTTTTTCCACGATTGAAGTGTAACTCTTTTTGTTCACTCCGCTTATTTTTCAATGGCTAATTTTATTCAATTTGCCAATGATGGGTTCGTCTTTGTCAGCTCACCTCTCATTTCTTCCATTTTGATCAAATTGAATTTATTATTTTCGTTTTGTTTATTCAACTGCTCAATAGTAAAAATTTCCTTAATTTAGGTTCAACCACAATCTACCTACCACCTCGAACATTTATGCGTCCATTTGAGCATTTGACCTCAGCATCTTCGGCATCGAGCTCAAGTGGCAGTGGGAGTGTTGTCGGCGGTGCGGATGACATAGTGGTGGGTCGAGGAGAGAGCGCCGAGGAAGTACGTCATTTGGTGGCCTATCTCACCGATCAGACGGCACTAATTTCCAACCCTGGTCTTCGTGTCTCACCTTCCTCTGCTCCTAGCAGCAGTAGCCCCAGTCATAGCAGAAGGGGAACTGGATCTGCATCAGGTCCCTCGTCTGGATCAGCTCCTGATGCACGCACGGCTGTCGCTGTTGTGGAGAGGATCGGGAAATTTTGGAGGCAACGTGGAGCTGCGGCTACTGGGGCGAGTGCTCTTGGAAGGTTTATTATTCGAAGGTACATTGTCTATTTTTATTCATCAGTCCATTTAAGTCACTTGCTATAATGAGGGAACGAAGGCTTTCACTTTCCCTCTAAATGACTGGTTAATTATTAGTGCAAGGTTATTGGGCGTTCGGATGACATAATAAGAAGGCTTAATGGCCCTATGAGACTCTTCAGGCCTGCCAATCTATATCTATGACTATAAGACGTGATCGATCGATACCGGTTCTGGCGATTGACGAGGTGCCATGAACAGAAGCAATTCATGAAGGTATGATTAAGGATTCTTATACAACGTTCCAAATGAGTTCGTTTTAAATTCCTGAAAAGTGTAGGTGCATCTTTCGTATTATTTAATAACGCGAGACAAGTAATATTTTAAGTAGCATAGCTTATACTGTGGTCACGTATTGTCCATCTCTTCAGTCACTTTCATTATACCAAAAGACTATTAGTTGTTTTAAAATGCCAAAAAACTTCTTTTTTGAGAAGTTTGAATTTAGTGAAGTAATTTTGGATCATTTGGTTTAAATGCGATTGTTGACCTCTTTTTCATCCTATTCTATTGTTAGATACGTATCAACAGATACAGGAGTGTTATTGATGTATCCAGGAACCTTGATGCCACAAGACTTTGATCCAACTACCAGACCTTGGTATGCCAGAGCCGTGGAGAGTGCTGGTCGAATTGTTTTCACTGAACCCTATCTTGATCATGGGGGTGCTGGTCACATTGTTACCATTGCATACGCTATCTTTGAGGGCAAGTAAGTCCTACTATCAACTATTCACATCTATATCTATGGGCAATTTTCTGTGGTCCTTGGGGGAAATTATGTGAACCAATCCCATTTTATTGAAATATTGTGCAATATTTGCACGAGCAATTGCAAGGCGCTTAATAACAGCAAATTTAGCGTACTTCTGGACGCTGTGAAAAAGATATATTTATTTATTTATTTCAAATGGCAGGCGTTTTGATAGATATCATTAGCCATTTAGCTGACTTCGGGCTTCACCGAGGGAAGGTTCATCAAAGTAGCAGAAAGTCGAGGGGTGGGGAACAGAAGAGCGATTCACAGATGTAAAAGAGGCAGACAGACACAAAGGTAGAGAAAAAGGTAAGATAAGTATTGTGGAAGGGGTCGAATATGACAACCAGGGGGTCATGGTAGTTTGAAGTCAGAAGTCAACTGCCGGTTAATAGACTTTTTTTGCCGTATGAGTATACGTTGCCCAGGGTGCACCACGTGGAGGTAAGTCTATCGCACACCCCTCTATAAAAAAGATTAAATTTG